AGAGTGCTGCACCCGAATCCTGAAGACTACAACTGACCGACTGCCTACCTCGGAAGTGCCTGGGAAGTCCTATGTACTACCTCGGCCTGCCTCCTGACCGAGGAGGCAGCTCTTGCCAATGCCGAAGCTTGCCAGGGGCTGGCGTGCAGTAGCCTGCTTGAGGCTGGCGTGGGAAACAGACTAATAATAGTTTGTTTCCGAAACCCTGGTTCGGTGCCTGAGTTTCAGGGCCGGTCGTTCTGATGAACGACCGAAAATGGCCCTTCGTTTCAGGCTAAAAAGGCTGTTGCCATTTTTAGTCTGAAACAACCAGGGATAGGCCCTGAACTTCAGGCTTTTGGCCTGAACGGACAGGGGGCCTGTAAGCCCTGGATTTCAGGCTTTCGGCCTGAAGTTCAGGCTTTTAGCCTGAACGGACGCAGGCCTGCAAAATGGTCGTCGGGCCTGCAAAATGGCCCGTGTGTGCATGCACTGCATGTAACACGCTGCCTCTGGTCTACATTGCATGCTGATGTGGCACTGCCTCTGGTCTACATTGCATGATGCTGCAGGGCCTGCCACTAGTGTAGATTGCTGACGTGACGCTTGCCACTGGTCTTCATTGATGATGTGGTGTATGCCACCTGTCTTGACTGCTGGCGTGGCATTGTCCACGCTGTCTACATGAGGTGACTGGTTGCGAGGAGGAGGAAGATCGGGATCTGTGGAAGATTGGGTTCGGGTACTCACCTGAAGTTGACGTTGTCACTGCAATCTGCTATGTCTGCATGGTCTTCACGAGATAAAGTGCCACGTGGCACCATTGTGTGTGATCAGGTTATAGTTGTTATCATCTATTAGATGTTGATGTGGAGAGGGAAGAAGCCCAGAGAAGGAGAGGGGTCTGAAGGGACTATTGTGTGATCTTTCATCTTCTCTTCTTTCTGTTTCCCCTCCACTCTCTTCTCTTAATGGTAACGAAATACTGTTTGAGATATCATTCTTTTAATGGTAACAAGATACTGTTTGAGATATCACGTCTCGATTTGGAGACTTTGATGCAGATAATGAGACTACTGATGTTTGATGACTTCTGAGTATCTGCCAGACTGGGTTCATTACAATTTGGTATCAGAGCTACTCTTTCATCTCAATCTGCTGTCTGCTGTGTTACATGTCCAGTTGGGCAATGTATGTATAGCCAAGGATCCGCAATGTGATAAAAAGGACTGAATGGACAATGCGGTGTTAGTGGAATCTCAACAAGCAATGTACATCCTGATACAGACAAAATGGCACCTTGTAGCACAGTGGAAGATTTAGATGTAGCACAAGGTGTGAAGGGGCCTGGCGCTACACACAGGAAGAATGCGCCAGGTCCATACCATACACAGACGAAGAGGAGGGGATCAGACGAAGAAGAGGGGGAAGATGGGAATGTCGTCAACACCAAGTCTCCGGTACAAGAACCAGATAATACCTCGTCAAATGTCTGAAGCCCAATGTCGAG